ATTCTATTCTATTCTATTCTATTCTATTCTATTCTATTCTATTCTATTCTATTCTATTCTATTCTATTCTTAGTCTAGTCTACTTTACGATGAAGTTCCCACAACTTCCAAGGGAAAGCTGTTCTATTGGTTGATTGTTCTTACTGTCAGAAAGTTTCTCCTTATTTCCAGGTTAAATCTCTCCTTGTTCAGTTTCCATCCATTATTCCTTATCTGGCCTTCAGGCACTTCAGAAAATAGCTTGACCCCTTCCTCTCTATGACAGCCCCTCAAATATTGGAAGACTGCTATCATGTCTCCCCTGGTCCTTCTCTTCACTAGACTAGCCATGCCCAGTTCATATGTTTTAGCCTCCAGTCCTCTAATCATCCTGGTTGCTCTTCTCTGCACTCTTTCTAGAGTCTCTACATATTTTTTATAGTGTGGTGACAAAAACTGGATGCAGTACTCTTGGTGTCGCCTTACTAAGGCTTTATAGAGTAGAATTAGTACCTCACATTGCTACCTACCTGCCTTCCATTGAGGACCTATATACTGCACGAGTCAAAAAGAGGGCTGTGAAAATATCCACAGGCCCCTCACATCCTGGACATAAATTGTTTCAACTTCTACCCTCAAAACGATGCTACAGAGCACTGCACACCAGAACAACTAGACACAAGGACAGTTTCTCCCCGCATACCATCACTCTGCTAAACAACTACCGGTAATTCCCACAACACTGTCAAGGTGTTTTACAAAGTGTTTTACTAAAAAAACTATTTATTAAGACTGTATTATTATTATTATTCTCATCCTTCCTATTACCTATCTCCTTTTCTACTTATGAGTATAACCTTGTTGCCTTTGTCTTTACAATTTATATTTTTTTTATTTAGTCTCCTAGTATGATTGCTTATTTAGTGTCCTATGACTATCACTAAGTGTTGCATCTTATGATTCATGAGGAATGTATTTATGATGCCTATGATCATGATTTATCACTTATACCTTTTATGTACACTGAGAGCTTATGCACCGAAGACAAATTCCTTGTGTGTCCAATCACACTTGGCCAATAAAGAATTCTATTCTATTCTACATGATCTTGATTGAGTCCCTCTGTTAATGCAATTTTAAAAAGCATTGGCTTTTTTGGCTTCTGCTGCACCCTTTTTGCTTCCCTTACAACTCGTATTAATAATGTTTCTTTCTGGAAGCCATTAGCCACATGGAAGCCAAGAGCCATATGGCTCTTACTGGAAGGTTGGGATGTGGGGCAGTGGTGGGATTCCAAAAAGTTTTACTACTGGTTCTGTGGGCGTGGCTTGGTGGGCATGACAGGGGAAGGATACTGTAAAATCTCCATTCCCACCCCACTCCAGGGGAAGGATATACTGCAAAATCACCATTCCCTCTCTATATTCCTGGGGGAAAGTTATTGCAAAACCTGCTTTCCAGCTCCGTTCTCCTGTGCAAGGCAAGCAAAGAAGACCCAGCCAATCAGCTGGGACTCAGGAGGCGGAGAATAGATGGGGATGGGACCAGTCAGAGGTGGTGTTTGCCGGTTCTTTGCACTACTCAAAATTTCCGTTACTGATTCTCCAGAACTGGTCAGAACCTGCTGAATACCACCCCTGATGTGGGGGCTCTACCATTAGCATCATCTCAGCAGAAGGCTCTATGGGGATGTTTCATACTCTGCATCTCAAGATTTGAGATGGTTTAGCAGAGACCTTTTTTTTTTCTCATTCTTTCCAACATGGGTGCTAATTCCTTTCTACCTACCCGGATGTTGCAGTTTCTCACCTGACTTCTTCCAGGACAAGAGCAGGGGCTCCTGCAAGTCGTCATGCATCACATGGCACCAGTAATGGTTCTTCTCCTTGGGGTCAATCTCAATGCTGAGCCAGACATAATAGGTCCCATCTGAGTTGGGGGCCACATTCCTACGGAGGGTCTCGTAGACACAGGCCTCTCCATCCCTGGTCCAGGTGGTCTGGATCTCCTTGGGGTAGAAGCCAAAGGCCTGGCAGGTGAGGACCTCCAGGCTGTCATCCACCACCTTTGAATTCACCTTCCCCACTGGGGGCTCTGAAAAAACCAAGAAACAAAATGAGTTCAGAGCAGGAATGTCCTCCTGTGACTCGGCCTGTCTCACACTCTCTCTGCTTCTCTCCTGAACATCTAGTAGGCTTCAAAATTTAGACATGCTAGAGCCCCCTGGGAAGCCAGGGGCAACACAAGGTTGGCTTTTTTCCAAAATAGGGCCTCCCTTCCCACCTGCATCCTCAAATGTCCAGCCTAGAGAGATCCCCAAGGGTTCAACTCATAAAGCATTCCTGGCTTGCTCTTGAGTGGCCATAAGGAGGAGCGGGGAAGAGATCTGATGGAGCAGTTCATTGCTATGACCAGATCCATGCATACCTTTCTCCAGATTGTGTCTCAAGTTATCAAGCCCAGCTGGAGAGGTGTGTTTTCCACAGCCCCCCGAAAGTGCTTTGTTGGAGAATATGATTTATGACACACCCTGAGAGGAGCGGGGAAACAGGTTAATAGGTGAACAGTACATTATATTGGGCAGAGATGACTGCACTTGGGAAACGTGCTGACATGTTGCTCCTAATAAATAATTGGATTTCTTTGGAAACTTGGCTCGAGGCTCATGAATTAATTAGGGCATCCGTCGGAATCCTGACACAAGGTTTCTTCTCCAATGGACTCACCTGTCCTCTCTAGAGCTTCCTTCCCAAAGGACAGGTATTTCGTCAGCAACACAGGGCAAGTCTCCTCCAGGAAGAGTTTATTTTCCTGGAACCATCCTGGATGATCCTCCCACTCCTCCTTGACCTTCTGGGCCTGGGGCTGAGCTGTCACCCATCTGAAGGTCTCACTGTCGAAGCTGATGAAGTCCATCCCATCGTAGCCATAGTGGAAATATCCTCCTTTGCTCCCATCTTCCCTGAGTTCACAGCCCAAAATCGCCTGCCAGGTGTGAAGTCCTGAAGTAGAAACTCAGTGAGGTTGGAAAGGGTGGAGATTCCTCCCCCCACGCATTCCCTTCTCACCCCCTCATCAGGAGTTTCAATCTCTTTTTAGATGAAGAAGGCACAAATTTGACTGTCAACAGCTACAAAACTATTTCACAAATAGAAAGTGTGTGTGTGGGGGGGGGGGAATGGGTTTTTCCCTTTATCTATCTCCCCTCCCCCAAGAAAAATATGACATCGCTATCTCTGCATCCTTGGAGACCAAAAAAGACAAAAGAATTCCTGGCACTTGGATATGATTCCTGCAATGCATGTGTGGGTGGTTTCATAGCTGCTTTGTCCTGTCTTTGTGGAGTGTGTGTGTGTGTGTTTTTTGGGGTGGGTGGGTGGGTAGGTGTCATTCTGCTTCCATTCCACAATCTGTGGCAAGTTGTTTCTTTGCTTGATAGTTGAAACAACAGGATGTGGAAGGTGAGTAATTGAGAGTGAATTCATGGCTGAAGGGAAGAATCTGCCTGCTCACCTTCATTTTGGGGGTGGCCATTTTGTGGACTTTTCAGGTCAGCCCTGAATACCCAGTCAGGGTCCAGATAGCTTTTCATCTTCGCCATCTCCATCCAGGGCACCAGAGGCTCGAACATCCTGGTGTGGTTGTCATAGCGAGCGATGGGCTGGTCATCCAAGTGGACCATGGAGAGAAACTGAGGGAGCTCCTGGCTGGGCCCTGACACTTGAAGGTAGGAATAAGACAGGGAATGTTTGGAAGAGCCTGGAAAGGGTTGTGGTAAAGGGTCAGAATTAGGAGATCTACAACTCAGGACCATCTCTGAACCTCACTATCATCAGTAACCCTCTTTTGATTTATGGTACCAAAGCCGATAACACGGCATTGCCTTGGTATTTATTTATCCTAATCCTGTATTAGATAGGAAAAGCCCTGATACAAATGTAATTTCTAATGTTGGATTTTCCCCCTTACCAGAGAGAGCCCCCTTGTGAAGTACCGTGAAGCTGTTACTATGGCAACTCCACAGTGCTGTACAGTAGAAGCCATTTTAAGGCACAACAGGTTATATCTTAATAGAACACACACCCCAAGGGATGTTAGGGGTGTCTTACCCCCACAGTATTTGTTTCCAGAGAGAAGTAATTTGTGTACCAAAGTGGCTCAGGTTCAAGTATCCCTTTATTGAGTACATCATATCGGCACTTAGAAAGATGAAACTAGCTCTAAATTATTCCCACATGGGAATAGTTAAAAGAATAGGATTTCCCTCCTCACCCTCCAGGTCTCCTAGGTCACATGGGCCAATCAGTTCAGTCACAGGTTCCCACTTGGCTCTGACAGGTATCCAATGACATGATCTTGGTTCACACACTAGGTTGTGACTAGCTGTTGTGGCTCACTACCGGCCAACCGAGCTGGCAGCATATTTGGACAGTGAGGAGGTTGGGGAGGAACATGGGCCAGTCTTGGAGTATGGGGTAGGCTCTGATGAGTGCTCTGCATCGGAGGCAGAGATGGGGCCAGGCCGTCTGGCAGTTATCAGCTTCTTTTGGAGTCAGACATCAGTGAGGCAGAAGAACAGCTGGAGCCTGTTCCCAGTGTACTCATGTGCAGAGCTGCCAGGAGAAGGGAAAAGCTAAGGAACAAGAGTTGACTCAGGAGTAAAGCCACAGGTGGATGGTGAATGGCCTCTCCCATAGGGAATAAAGAGGAGTGAAAGGTGTTTGCAGGAGACAATGAGTTCAATTCATTAGGGTGAAGATCTGTTCCTGACTTCTTGCCAAGTATTGTCTTCTACAGAGTGGTGTTTGGAAGATATCGGCCTGGCAGCTCTCCAAGCCTGATAAAGGTCTGTAGTTGTGAAATCTCTTGAAAGACTGTTGGCCGGGACTTTGCTGGAGAAGAATTCCCTTTAACCTAAATAAAATGGGCTTTTATCAGGATGAGGAGTCGGCTTCGTGCTTTTGGGATGCCTAGGTCAGAAAACTAGCCAACTGAGGCACCACATTCCTAAGTGTCCCCTCCCCCTTGAATGGCAACCAAGAAATGAAACATCATTTCAGTTGAAGTTGTTTTGCAGGTTGACAGAGAATATTTGTAGCTCAGGGTTGAAATGAGAGATCCTTGGTGATACCTGAACTTGCTTGTTTTCTTGCAGATGTTTCACTACTCAGTTTTACTACCCAAAGTAGGTAACATCATCAGTGCTACTGCTTGCACTGATGATGTTACCTACTGAAAGGATTAGAGCATATACAGTGTGTGCCTGGCTCAATCTTTGATTCCCTTGCTAGGCTGGGCTGATCTCCATTGTAACTTGTGCTGAGCTAGCAGCTGAACCAACTGCAGAGATAAAAACTTCTAAGTGAACTGCCAACCTTAGCCTAGCAATGTAACTGCTTGAGAAACGCAAAAATGCATCAATCTGCTTGCTGCAACTAACTTAGAATGTGTTCTTCCCAGCAACTTAGAATGTGAGAAACGAAGCTTTGGGCTAAAATGTATTTCTTTCTAAGTAAAGTTTGTTTGCAAAAGCACTGAGAAAATTTCATGAGCTTTGCATGATATGAAATAATGTTTCCATAGCAATGACGGGTCTTTGCAAGCTGTGTAAGCCAGTGGTTACCAACCAGTGGGCTGGGGATCACTGGTAGTCCACAGAGAAATGTCACCCCCAAGCCAATTAATCCAGGCTGCGCAGGAACACAAGGCTGCGCCGCCCACATGGCCTGTGGGAACACAAGGCTTGCATCGCTTGCATTGTGAACAACATGAGATAGTGAGGGGAGGAGGGAAAGGGCAGAGGTGGGGAACTTGCCCCACTCACCCCACATGCCTGGCTAGGCCACTGGGCTGCTTCTTTTTGCTTCTTTCTTCTGCTGCTTTTGGCTGCACACAAGGAAAGCAGCAAAAGTCTTTCTTTCTCTCCCCCAAACTCCGCCAGAAATGAGGGACCCTGCAAGACATCCTGCTCCAAGAGGCTGCGCCGGCATGACAAGTCTCACAAAGACTCATTTCTGGCAAAGCGTGGGGGAGAGAACGAAAGACTTCTGCTGCTTATGGTGCTTTCCTTGCATGATGCCAAAGGTCTCTCTCTCTCCCTGCGAGCAGAGCTGGAGACGGTATCCTGCGGTCCCAAATAAAGAACGATCGATTGGTAAGAAAACAGATTGGGGAATTTTCCTGAAGACTTTTTTGGGGGATTTTCCCAGGGTTTCTGGTCCATGGGATTTAAAATTATGAGTTTGGTGGTCCCTTGGGTCCAAAAGGTTGGTGACTCCTGGTGTAAGCTATACAAGTTCAAGAAAAAGTTTTTGCACATGCGCCTGCTTCTCTTTCTCTCTGCCTTGCTTTTTAAGGTGGGAGACTAAAAGGTCGCCCAGTTTTTATTTTCTGATCAGAGAAATAAAACTGATTATCAGTGGTGTGTTCAGAGTTTCATTGGACTTATCATGTCACAAGACCTAAAATGGACACCTAACATCAAAAACATCATCAAAAAAGCATAACAAAGAATGTTCTTCCTGCGCCAACTCAGAAAGCTCAAACTGCCCAAGGAGCTGCTGATCCAGTTCTACAGAGGAATGATTGATTCTGTCATCTGGACCTCTATAACTATCTGGTTTGGTTCTGCAACCCAACAAGACAGACACAGACTTCAGAGAGTCATTAGGACTGCAGAAAAAACAAGTACTATCAACCTGCCTTCAATCGAGGAACTGTATACTGCACGAGTCAAAAAGAGGGCTGTGAAAATATTTACAGACCCCTCACATCCCAGAAATAAACTGTTTCAACTCCTACCCTCAAAATGACGCTATAGAGCACTGCACACCAGAACAACTAGACGCAAGGAGTTTTTTCCCGAACACCATCACTCTGCTAAACAAATAATTCCCTCAACACTGTCCAACTATTTACTAAGTCTGCACTACTGTTAGGAATATAAGTCACCTAACAGGTATTTGGGTTAAAAATATATAAACCAGGATAAACATTTTAGTACTATATCTTTAAGGGAATGTAAGACCATGCAATTGGGTGTGGTTTCTCAAATAGCCATAACATGGAGCCAGAAACCTGGGTTGTTTAGTCTTAGTCTCAGAAGAGAGTGTGTCTGAGTATCTTTGTTTCCTAATATTGGAAAATATTGCCGTTCCTCCATTTTCTTCTAATTGACTGCTATTACTGGATTTAATGTAAGTCTGTTACTGAACTGTTTTTTGACACTGGACTTTAATATTTGGATTATCCCTGGATTGAAAAGTGACTGATTTTACCTGTGAATGACTTTGGACTGCTTATTTTGGACTTTGCTTAAACCTTTCTTGAAGTAAAAACCTACATTTACCGTACGGTGTATCTGTGTACTGTGTGTGTATTATTCAAACACTTCTCTCAAATACGTCTCCCTATATGCGCTCATTCTCCTAACGGGGAATTACCTCAACAACTAGTACTGTTAATCTTCTCATCACATCACCCATCCCCTCCCACTTGTGACTGTATGACTGTAACTTTGTTGCTTGTATCCTTACTATTCATATTGACTGTTTCCTAGTATGATTTGATTGCTTATTGTAAGCTATGACTATCATTAAGTGTCATACCTTATGATTCTCGACTCTTGATGAATGTATCTTTTCTTTTATGTACACTGAGAGCATTTGCACCAAGATAAATTCCTTGTGTGGCCAATCACACTTGGCCAATAAAAGAATTATATCTGTTTAAAATTCTATCTATCTATCTATCTTATCTATCTATCTTATCTATCTATCTTATCTATCAAAGAGCTGCACTTGAAAAACCTTACACTACTTTGGGTAATGAAACATCTGCAAGAAAACAAGCAAGCTCAAATTTATTGGTGGCATTTTAACAGTCCTGTTTGTAAACCTGGAAGGGGACAATTCCCCAAGATAGTTTGAATGACCCTAAAAAAAGCTAAAGGGATCACTTGGAAATGGGAGTTTCTGTATCAGCTGGCTGGAGTACTAGAACTAGTTCTGACCTCATGAGCTGCTTTTAAAAAAGACAGAGCTGGAAGGGGCCTTTGAGGTCTTCTAGTCTGACCCCCTGCTCAGACAGGAAACCCTATACCATTTCAGACAAACGGCTGCTCAATCTTTTCTTTAAAAACTGTTGGAGCATTCACAATTTCTGGGGGCAAGTTGTTCCACTGATTAATCGTTCCAGCGGTCCAAGAACTATCTAACTCTCATCTCTCTCTCTCTCTCTCTCTCTCTCTCTCACACACACACACACCAAACACGCTACGTTTGTGCAAGAAGACTCTGCCCTGACTGATGAACAACTCAGTGAAGATCAGAGCAGGGGGGAAAAGAGAAAAAGTGAAAGTGGGGAAAACCCAGAGAACACATACCCTCCCCAACGGCAGGAAAGCCAAGACTCTACAAGTGCAGTAATGAAAGCCAAGTTTCTACACGTGCAAAAATAAAAGCCAATATTCCACACGTGCAGCAAAGAAAGCCAAGATTCCACACGTGCAGCAATAAAAGCCAAGATTCCACGCGTGCAGCAATAAAAGCCAAGATTCCACGCGTGCAGCAATAAAAGCCCTGATTCCACGCGTGCAGCAAAGAAAGCCAAGATTCCACACGTGCAACAATTAACGTTAAGGCGGAGGGAGCTCCGGGACTGGACCGTCTTGGGTGATCGAAGCTCCGG